GAGCCCGGGCAGTCAGGCGGGCTGAAATGACCGCTTCACTGCCGCAACGAAGGGAGCATTTCTCCCATTGTCTCGGTCAGAAGCAGACTACCATGTACGCGCTTTGGAATATCCTCAGAGGGGGAGGGTGTCGTCGGCGGCGATTCAGGACGACGTGTCCAGCTGGCTGTGTGGGTACTTTGTCTCGGTGAAAGAGTTTTGCACGGCGCCTCATAAGAATCCCATCCTCGGTCAGGCCCCTTCCATCACCGACGCAACCCTGCTGGCTGACGTGGGAGGCGAGAAAGGAATGACTGTGGCGGAATGTATTGCTGTGTTTGCTTTTCTGTGGACGCATTGTGAGACTGGGGTTTTGAAAAATGGGGGCAGGGAAGGGGGGCTTGGGGGGACGCGGCCTGTGATGCTGTCAAGGAGGTAGAATCGGAGCAAATGCGAAGAAGAAGCAAGGGAAAATGCAGGCTGACTGAGACCTTTTGCGATGCTACTTGATACGCAGCAGGCAGCAGACGCGTCTTCGGTGAGGAAAGGTGGTTTTCTTCGCGGACCACCGAGACGGCTGCTGCACCCCGGATCGCGGCCGGCGGTTCGCCTGTCCACTCGCCCGTGCACGGCCTCGCGGGCTTTATGCGGGCGTCTGGGCCTCCCTCGTGGCAACGTGACGGGGAGAGGGGAGACGACAGAGGGAGGTGTCGCTGGTGGTCAAGGGTCGGATGGTTGTAGGACGGTTTGATCCTTGTCGAGTTCCACGGAATGACGACCATCAGATTATGCGCTGCGATGTCAAGTTGGGACGGATTTGGCGCAAACCGTCATGACAAAAACAGATCCAAGGGTCACAAAAGTCGGATGGCAAAGTTTCGGCCACACAGACGCACACGCACACCCGACACAATTCGGATGCCTCCCTTGAAGCAGCCGGCGAGCAAGCAAGGCAGCACAAGCAAGGCAGCACAAGCAAAGGGCGAAACGCCGCCGTGGCCGTGCAGCAGCAGCAGCAGCAGTGGCAGTAGTCAGAAGTGCAGAGTCGACTGCCGAGAGCGTGCATCCCATTGTCTCACGCGCCCGGCCGTCCCGGATCTGCGTGTCTCAAGGCGGGTGCTGCAAAAGAAACGAAAGTGTGGCATCTGTGTGCGCGTCTATTGCTCCTTGCTCCCACAGGAGGTCCCACAGCCTGCTTCCCGTCTCACAGGCACTGCTGTGCCACGGTGAGTACCTCTAGGGGCACGTCTCACTGGAAGGAACCAGGATCAGGGGCTCAGGCGCTGTAGCTCGCCATCCTTGGGGCGCTGAAGGGGGCTGGCTGGGGCGCTGAAGGGGCTGCTTGGGGCGGCTCGGGGGCCAATGGACAGCGGCCCCGGCAGTTGGCGGTCAGCACTGTGCTGCCCACGTGTGCTGGGGGCGATGATGGCACAGCGGCTGGTGTTCTGGCATTTCACGAAGGAGCAGGCTGAACGTGCCTTTTCATCTTATTTTATTTTTATTTTTATTTTTATTTTTTTACCCCTTTGTGTGCCTCCCTGCCTTAGGGCTTTGCTCGCTGGTTGGGTCGACAGAAAGTGGTGAGCCATGATGCTGCATTACATGTACCCAAACGCGCCTTAGGTGCACCCCCTTCGCGATGATGACCTGCATGAAAAGGCAGGTTGGGTTTCCCTGCGTTGGCAAGTCGAAGCTGGCTGAGGTTCTAAAATAACAATCAGAGCAGGCTGAGCTGCAGCGTCAGAAGATGACCTACCATAGTACCTAGCTAGGTAGGTAGGTAGGGATACATGTATTTCTTCGCCGACGCTCCTGTTCTGAAAGTTCAGGCCAGTCCTGCCACCACCCATCACCCCCCTCGACCCTCTACCAGGCCTCTGTGACCTCGTGAGTCCAGCCGAAAGTCAAAAGGGCCTAGGACGACGGCTCCCCCGCCGGGAGGCCTGCATACCCTTCCGGACCCGCCTCTACATCTACAAGCTTCCGCATCCTGCCCCTGCTACCGGAAAGGCCCTCCATGGCTTGATGGCAGGTCAGGCCACCAGAATGCACACAGTATAAACCTCTCGCCCGCGGCAATGAGGCGATCACCACTGTAGCCTGCTGGGCCCCTTGCCTAACGTGCCCGCCCTGCTGCACACGCCCCCCCTCTCCCGCCCCGCCCGCAAAAGCCGCGGGCCGCAGGACTGCCCCTCTTCTGCTTCTTTTGTTCCCCTTCCATGTCATGGAACTGTCAATCAAGCTGCCCCGCTCTCATGAGCTGGAGGGGCACCTGGAGGGGCACCGAACCGACGTGTCGTGTCGTTTGTTGCGTTGTGCTGTTGGCCATGTTTGTCTCGTGTTGAGAGGTCGAGAGGGGGTCGCTGAGGGGTAAGAATCCGCATCTAGGAGGGGGGGGGGGGCAAGAACCCACCTCTCTGCCCTCTCTGCCCTGATTCCCAGCTGCGCCGGTTACATCATTTCCAACTCCTCAGCAGCCATGGCCATGGCCAGTGTGACACGCGCCCGCGAGAGCGCAAAAGGGGGTTGCCGTGCGGCGCGGGCTCGGGGCACCTTAGGCGCCGGCGCAACCCACCCCTCTCCAGGGTGAGGAAGAAGAAAAGGGCCCAAAGGGGGGATTACATGTACTTCTCACGCGCACGCACATTCACTCACTATCACTATCACGCTGGCAGCCCTCGAATGAGCGAATATCGGCGACGCGCCTGGCTGCCTGCTTATCCCCACCCACCCACAGACAGACAGACGGGCGCCCACATGTGCACCTCGACCTTTTCCTGGAACGCGCTGCGCGATCCTCTGCATTTTGTGAAAAGGACGACACGGAAACAGTGAGGGAGAAGAAGCAGCTCCAACAGAGGGGGCGCGCCATGCGGCTGCTCGTTGCGGGCCACGCACCAACGTCATCCGGGTCTGGGGGCCTGCTGGCCAATGCGGCCGACGTTGGGACCCCGGCAAGAAGGGTTTATGCACACGCCCCCCTCTTTTCACCCTGACAAGGCCTCCTGTCCTGAAGCTGGTCTTTGGTGTGTGTGATGCGCCGTTCGAGGTGCGAGTCGGTGTGCTTGCATCGAGCATCGTCGGCACGGGGAAGTAGAGTTTCGTGCGGCGGTGTATCGCGTGGGAAAATGGCCACGTGTAGTGTCACGGTCGCGAGCTTGTCGTGGCCTCGTGGGTGGTATCGTGGGCTTTGCGAACCTAGAGTTGGCCGACGGGATCTGCTGATGGCCCTCGCGGTGCGCTTGGATAGCGGCCTGACGGCGAGCGCATGTCTGATATGACGGCGGTGCGGGACATAAGGTTGGCCGTGTGCGAGGGCCACGGCGTGTGATCTACTGATGCTGGCGATGGAACGAGGTTCGTCGTGATGGACGACTCACGTGCCCGGGCTCATGCTGCGAGGAAGTTTCAAGTCACTCGGGCTCTGCGAATCTCGTTTTCGTGTTACTGATTTCGACGGCTAGTCATATGTTGCTCGATGCTGAAGTCAGAGTGAGTCATATTACGCCGTTTCCAGCTTCATGGCGATGCGCGCAGAAAGCTTGAATATTCGGCAAATATCCATGACTACAGCCATGGAGTCGGCTTGCTGTGGAGACCAAAGAGCTCTGGCAGAGCCACGGAGGACATCATGAATTAGATCTTGTACTCTTAACGAAGCAGAGGCAGTCTGTCACTAACATGTACCAGTCAATTCACGACGGAATGAATACAGCCCAGGGGCATTCAAGGTATCTTCCTATGCTTCATCTTCCTATTCTTGAGACTGCGCTTAATACACTACAAATGCCAACGCCACTTCTGAGATTCGTCGAAGTACATGTTTGTATTGAGTACATTGGTTTCTTTCGAACGTCGTGCCGTAGTTCTTCCTGTCAGATAAAACACAGGCGTGTTAAGATATCTGACGTCTCAAGCCGGATGTTGCGAAACGAGCAAAGACTATCCATGTGACTTTGACAACCGTTCAAGAACACCCGCCTCCTTTTTGGTCTCGCCTGTCGGGTGTTTGTGAATATTGTTGATCAAGACCGTAAATTGAGGGAGGTCGTGTCAAAGTGCTTAAGTATTTCAAAAGTTGTACGAAACGAAGCGCGTTGGTGGTGAGGTTTGTATCATTAGCTTTGTCGCATGTAGCTAGGTATCAGTTTACGAGACAGCACAAGATCTGAGAATGGGAAAACGGGAAAAGACAAGGGGCAGATGGGAAAAAGACTTGCTTTCCCATGCCTCTGTAGATGATCCATGTCATTCTCTGAGCCGGCAGAAGCCTTGACCAGTGATTCTCAGTCTACAGTCGGAGTGGTTAGCAGTGGTAGCTTCTTGAGGCGAGAGACAAGGCTCTATAACAGATTATATAGTTTGTAAGATACTCGAAAGACTTTGCTCACAGGTAGTGCTCATCTTATGTCATGCCAATACATGAATATCCCTGGTCAGATTATAGAAGCATGGGACACCTAGTCCACTGGTTCATGATGCCCTGTTGGGATCTGCCTTCGCTCATTTCTCGAGGTCGTGATACTAAGTTGAGGTATCAGTCTCTTCTGAAACTTTATTCTGGGCTACTCCATCTATGCCGGTTAAAGACCATTGTTGATTTCCATCTTGATCTACTTCTGCCGCCTAGAGCAAACGTCCACAGTCACGGCAGGACGATCTTTACTCTCAGTAAATCACCTAGAAAACACGCATTCAGATCTCGAAAAATCAGTCATATAATATTCTCCCTGGTGCTTTGCCTTACGCTCAGCCTGTAATACAACGCCCCCATGCAACAGAGCCATTTCCAGTCTCAATCAAGGCCACGCTCAGCCACGTCGAAATATTTGTTTGAGCCGTGTTGCACCGCCAATCTTCAGCTCCCGAACCTGTACTCCCTTGCTCCTCGGCTAGAGACGACGTGAACACAGCCTGTCAGCCGCGTGGTCACACCATGCTCTGCTGCGCCGCATGCATGCATGAACTGCCAGCCCGCGGGGTCGCGGCCGCGAAGACCGCGATACGTCGGGCTAATAGCAAATCTCGTGCGACGACACAGTGCGGCGAACTCCAGGACCATTACAAAGGATATATTGCCCCCCTGCAGAACCCCCCTCACGTTTGGAGGCAAACCAGGCCCGTACCCACACGTAATACAATCAAGGGCCCCTCGCTCGCGGTCCAAGGCGGCTGGCCACTCGGCCGACAACAGCATGCTACGTCCACGTGCTCGAGGTGGCGGCTCCAGACTTCTTGCCCTCTTGATACGTCTTGCTGAGCCCGTCGTAGAGGTCCTTGACGCGCTCGACCTCGGCCGCCCAGTGCTCCCGCTCAGCAACGTCTTCCAGGTCCGCCACCAGATCCCCGAGGCTCCGCGCCTCAAAGAACTTGTTTCTCCTGTTGTACAGCGCGCGCCGGGACAGCGCGGCGTCCGTCTCGCCGTCGGCCTTGACGCGGAACACCTCTTCCAGGATCTCGAGGTCGTAGGGTATGGCGAAGCGGTCGCGGCTGTCCTCGTACGTGAAGAGGAAGTAGAGCGCCTTGAAGCCGGACCAGGTGATGCCGCTGAGGCAGAGGCTGCAGGGCTCGTGGGTGGCGAAGAAGACGCAGTCGTCGCCGGGGCTCGGCCGCGAGGCCGGGTCCGGGTGGGAGACGGTGTAGAACTTTTGGATGCAGTTGATCTCGCCGTGGAGAAGGGGCGAGGTGCGCTCGTCGTTGGTGGCGACGGTGTAGGGTGCCAGGGAGGCGGCGGAGAGGATCGCGGCGCCGAAGACTTTGCTGCCCGACGTGACGCCCTCGCGCGTCAGGGGGATGATGTCGGCCTCGGTCGTCTTGAGGAGGGCTGCCAGCAGGTCTTTGGATGTGTGGGACGGCATGATGGCGAAAGAGTCTTGGATGATCGCGGTATCTGCGCTGCGAGGTCAAAGTCAGTGGTCAGTCGAGCTCTGTCTGAGCCATGGAGATGGATATATTCTGCTGGCGGCGTTGACAGCTGAGTCTGACGGCGTCCTTATCGGGGCTGCCCGCGGGGTCATCACTGGTCGCTGGCTGCTGATAGCGGCGACCTCCGACTTTTGATGGCGCTTCTTCGATGCGCTTGCATGCGATATCGCTCTTGTTCGTGGGGTGCATTGCGACCGCGGATGCCGTGAATACTCTTGTGGTGGTAGCTGCATGTGTTCGATGTTGAAGCGAAAAAGAATAGCGATTGAGTCGTCTCGTGGTCCGTCCTGGAGTAAGGGTCCTTCCCCTGCAGAATATGGGGTGACTAATCCTACTGTGTCATCCACTTCCACGACATCTTAGTGTCCGAGAAGCTTCTACCCTTACACTAAAGGCATGGTCGACGAGATGGCTTCGCTCACGTATTCAATTACCCGACACCATGAGATGAAACGAACCTGCTCATGACGGACCTCGAGATCTGTATCCTCACCTCTGCTACGCGATGCATTACATCCGCCTCTTGCGGCCGCCGGCCCTCTCCACCGACCAACGTGGAACATCGTCAGTCCATGTCGTCCTGACCATCACCACGGACCTCGGAGACTCCTTTCTCAGCCCTGAAGCCTCCATCAAGCTAAAAGCAGGTGTCTATGCAGCTTCACTTGACGCCAAAGGTAACAAGCCACAGCCGTCCGACATCAAGACCTCTCAAATTCTTGAATGGCGACCAGGAACGAGGGTCATCAAGACAGACCTGCCTCTGGGCATTTGCTCCAGCACCGACCTTCGTGTTTTTGTCTTCCCCACAGCACAGGCTTGGGCAGGCAGCACCATGGATGTCGTGTCGTCCCTTCGATCCGACGACCGCGGTCGCATCATGCCCGTCTGGGCGGACGTTCACTACCCTGGCGTGGAAGCGCCTCATGTCTCGTTCCGAAGACTACGCATCGGCAGCGAAGAGTCGCCATCCTTTGTCCAGGTCGAAGAAGACATCGGGGAGAGCATCGCGCGCCATATCTGGGACGCCGGCGTTGTCGCGACGTCGATCCTCCTGGAGAACGGGACGTCCTCGGTGAACAGCGAAACCCTTCCAAAATTGACGCAGGTGTTGGCCTCTGATGGCCCTCTTCACATTATGGAGCTGGGTTGCGGTGTGGGCATTCTGGGCCTAGGCATCGCTGCTCTGCTTTCCGGTTCACAAAGGCAGTCATCGCAGCTGCTGTTGACAGATCTCCCGGAGGCTGAGGACAGGACGCAAGCAAACATTGATTGTCTCGCATCTACGTTGCCTAGCGAAGCCCAGACAATACCCTCGTTTGAGAGTCTCGACTGGGAGGATGGGCGAAAGGGCAAGTTCGGCCCACGCGTGCAAGAGAATTTCTGGCATCTCATTGTTTTGAGTGACTGCACATACAACGTCGATATGCTACCAGCGTTGGTTGGCACCCTGACGGCGTTGCACGATGCCAACAAGAACCATGTGCCCGCAGGGGAAGCTGCGACTACGCGTGTTCTGCTCGCCACGAAACCTCGGCACAAATCGGAGAAAGCCTTGTTTGACCTTATGTCAAAGGGGGGATGGGTTGTGGCCGAGCAGGACGTTCTGCCTCTTCCTGTTATGGGCCAACAGCCGGAGTCCGTGGAGATTTATATTTTCGAGCAGTAAATGAGGCCAGGTTGGTCTGCCGAAAGCACACCACCGCGTCAAGCCTGTGACCTCTCATTCACCTGATGGCAAGGCCATCATGAGCTCCTTTCAGAGGCGCTTCAATGATGGGAATTGCCCTTGAAGGACAACACTGAGCCATTCAGAGGAGCATCATAGGAGATTCTTGGACGGAAACATCTGGAATCCGGAGTGGATACTATATCATCACAATGAAGCAACGAACAAGGCCCAACGATGCATTGATGTAACCGCACCTGGCGCAAGTGTCGCAGGCGTGGCTTGTCTTGGTTTACGGTGTATGGTGATGGACTCTCTGCTGCCCTCAGTCATGGCCACTGGACCTACAGGCACTTGCTACCAATTGACACTGACCACAACCTTTTGCCTATAGAACTTCAATACCTACCTTGCATAGCCAGGAGGTATGCAACATACTCATAAAGCTGAGGGTCCACAGCCTTTCAATCTTTTCAGAAGAAAGATGACATCAAAAAATTGGAAACTCTTCGATCAACATCGATGATCAGGCAGAGCGTCGCCATGGTCTCATTTCATTTTAACTCAGAGACCGGACTTGCTTGGAATAATAAAGCCCATTTCCGCATAGAACTGTTATCAATTGGTGAGGTGGCCGAGTTGGTTATGGCGCCAGGTTAAGGTCTACCTTAACTAGATTTCCTGGTGGGGCAACCCGCGCGAGTTCGAGTCTCGTCCTCATCAGTATCTTTTTTGCCTTGACAGCCGAGGCATCAACTCTTGTCTTTTTCTTTGAAAGCAGCGGCGGGAAGAAAAAGATTCCTCGGCATCGAGTGGCATAAGCATCAGCGGCCTCTGAATGAAGCGTTGTGTTTGCTGTTGTGGGAACTCTTGATGACGGATCTAATTCCCCTTCCATAGCCGGCCGCCATCATACGACTACCGGCAGTGAAACTTGATGGACAATAAATGAAGACCAGGTTGGTTGCAAATAATAGTCACCTTCTGAAGGTCCACTTTGCAAGTTTCGAGTTCGGCCGGAAAGGGGAACTTGCCTCTCATCCAAGTACCAGAGATCCATCATGATGGAGATATCGGATCATGCCCCTGGACCCTGATCCATGACTCTTACAAGCCCCTCTTTCGGAAGACGAGATGGAGAACAGAGGGGACTCTGCTGGTCTGTCGCCATACATAGACAAGGCTGTACACAATGGCTACCCTGTTATCAGCTTCTGGGGTGACACAGCATACTGATTCATTTTGCCCGTCGTCGGCTGAGAGGACCCGGGTCTGATTTACCCCTCGATCCTTTGCTAGAAATTGGGCGACAATCTTGAATTGCTCCCCTTGATCATTCAACTCTAATCCCGTTGCACTTTGCTTTCCAGTGTCTCTCACATTACGCATTTCACCATGACGGACAGTGGTACAACGCCGCCATTGCTTGGCAAGACGGCCCTGATCACAGGGTCGGCCCGCGGCATCGGTGCTGCTGTTGCATGGAAGCTTGCAAGTGAGGGAGCAGATGTAAGTTAGACATGGTACAAAATGAAACCCCTCTAATAGCTCTCACCAGATCATCATCCATCACCTAACAGAATCGAGCAGCGATCGGGCAGCCAACCTGGCTACGCGCATCTGCAATCTTCCTCACAAGCCCGCGGTGTTCACTTTCCGCGCTGACATCTCGTCGCCCACTGGCCCGATCGAAATTGTTGCCGCCCTGAAAGAGTGGCGTGCCCCGTCTCCTCTTGTCATAGACATACTCGTAAACAACGCCGGCATCGCACCCCCCGCCATCCTCGCCGACGTGACGCCGGAACACATCACTTCTGTGCTGGCCACCAACCTCCAGGGCCCTCTCCTCATGACCCAAGCCGTCGAGCCCCACCTGCCGCCGAAAGCCCGCATCGTCAACATCTCCTCCATTGCCGCGCGCCAGACCTTTCGCGGGCTGACCGTATACGGCGCCAGCAAGGCCGGGCTCGAGGCCGTGACGCGCCATCTTGCCCACGAGCTCGGCGGCAACGGCACGACCGTCAACTGCGTCACGCCGGGGGCCGTCGACAGCGAGCTACTCTGGGAGACGGACAAGCTGATCCCCGGGGTGGTTGACGGGATCTGCAAGAACACGCCGCTGGAGCACAGGGTCGGCACGCCGGAAGAGTTTGCGTCTGTTGTTGCTTGGGTTTGCAGGCCCGAGGCGGGGTGGATCACTGGGCAGGTCATCAGTGCTACGGGTGGGCAGGCTCTCTACTGAACTGGCTGATTCACCTTGCTCGATGTTGGTCATACGAGGGGTGAGATTGCGAGAACCGGCATGTGAGAAACATGGATGCCGGCATGAGTGAAGAATGGGACAGGATCTCCTCCAATGGCGACTCTCGGGTTTTCCACGTAGTCCCTGTATCAGGCCTTGATCCGCTGATTTTGTTGAGGGGTAGTCTTTCTGATCAGAGTACCTTCCCTTTGGGTTAACATGTTTCCTGGTGTGATGAGCGGATCGAAACACCAATGATCTACTCGATGAACTGATTGTGATCCGCTTGTATGTTTTCTGTTCTCCCAAATCCACTCTCAGTCATAAAAACGCAGTGATACAACGCAAAACAAATTTGATTTATATTTTCCAGTAGCACAGGTTATTGCAGATAAAGCGATGAGGTCAGACAATATCCATTTAAGTCGTGACATCGTGGGCAGTTTCACACATCGCATCTCGCCGTTTCTGGCCACGGAGCTTTACCAGCCGCGATATCTCACCCGACGTCCCGCATAGATTGCACTGCAAACAGTGCGTGTAGCCTCTTATAAGCACCGCCTTGAATATAGTCGACTCCCATGCATGCATTCAGCCGGCCCCGCCAAGTCTGGGGTGCTGTCGCCTAAGCAAGCCCGTTGGTGGAGCGCGACATCTGCCGAGTCGCGTGGTCGCCGTTGAAGGATGCACTGCAACCACGGCCTGTGTGATCTGGTGGTTGCTGCTAATATCGCGAGGCTTCTGGACGCTCTGACTGGAGCCGAAGTCCGGGCAATAGATTACCTGGAGACAAGAAGTTGGTAAACAGCGAGAGGAGGTGCCCGGGCACGCCGGGAGCACATTATGGTCATCTTTGGTCATCGCGATGCCTCCTGACTGTGCCGCAAACCCGGCTCGAGGTACAAATGCGAGAACGGTTCCATGTCTGCTGATGTCGTGATTTCGCTCAGGGTGCCAACGTCAAGTCCTCACACATAAGCTTTTCGATCCGCAGATCACTGCCGAGCCTCACCATGAAGTCCTACGTCGTTGCGATCCTGGCTTCTTTTGCAAGCCAAGCCGCTGCCCACTCTACCTTTCAGCAGCTTTGGGTGGATGGAGTTGATTATATACGTTTCTCCTCATTGCTCGTTGCCTGATGACTGCTGACCATGACCACGGCTCCCAGTGTGCGCGTCTCCCGCCTAGCAACAGCCCGGTTGAGGATGTGACAAGCACCAACATTGTCTGTAACGTCGGCGGCACAAGTGGCAGGGGTGGCAAGTGTCCCGTCAAGGCCGGCGGGACTGTCACTGTCGAGATGCATGCGGTTTGTATACCCCTTTCAACACAACCGCCCCTTTCCACATCGTCTCTTGCTTCTTGGCAGTCATTTTTAACCCCTGATGGTTCTCGCATCTCTTGCGGCCCTTCGCCTCTCCTAAACCAATGAAGTGATACTGCAATGCTCCCAGCTTCAGCCACTGACACATGCCAGCAAAACGGCGATCGCAACTGCGCCAACGAAGCCATCGGCGGCAACCACTTCGGCCCCGTCATCGTCTACCTCTCCAAGGTCTCGGACGCCTCCACCGCCGACGGCTCGAGCGGCTGGTTCAAGATCCACGAGGACGGCTGGTCGGCCAAGTCCGGCTCGGCAAAAGCCGACCAGGACAACTGGGGCGTCAAGGACCTCAACGCCTGCTGCGGGCGCATGGACGTCAGGATCCCCGCCGACCTCGAGAACGGCGACTACCTGCTGCGCGCCGAGGTCGTCGCCCTGCACGTGGCGTCCCAGCCCAAGGGCGCCCAGTTCTACATGACCTGCTACCAGATCACCATTGCCGGCGGCACGGGCGCCAACAGGCCCGCGACGGTCCGCTTCCCCGGCGCCTACGCGGCCACCGACCCCGGCATCCTGTTCAACATTTACCAGGCCACGACGTCGTATAAGATTCCCGGCCCGGCCGTCGTCAGCGGTGGGAGGAGCATTGTCGCGGGCCAGGGGTGCAAGAGCGGGTGCGAGGTGACGTGTAAGCCGGGCTCTGGCACGACGGGGACAGTCGTGGCGCCGCCGGCGCCGACGGCGGGCGCCCCGCCTGCGGCGTGCTCGGTGCCGCAGTTTGGGCAGTGTGGTGGGCAGGACTACAAGGGGTGTACTGTCTGCGCGGTGAGTTTAGCCATAGTCGTGGTGTGGCGCGGGTGCTACAAGATGGGCGTAGAGGGCATCATGCTGACGTGTGATAGTCTCCGTACACGTGTAAGGCCGTGTCGCCGCCTTACTACTCGCAGTGCAGCTGATTGGGTTGGGCACACGATGACGGAAGGCTCTCCACTAATCGTCAGTCTCGATTCATGTGAAGGCGTCGAGGCTTATCGAGGGGAAAGATGGCAAGCTGAGGAGAGGAAGGAGTTTGACGTGGTCTTGTCCTATGCAATTGACTCGCCACTAGTGTACCGTGTACAAATGTCTGCGCATCGTTGTCTATCTCGTGTTCAAGCTTCGATCACAGTTTCGCCATTTCCTCTGTGACCATTTGTAGCCACCGTCGCATCACTGCCGTTGACTTTGACTTCTCCGTTACCGGTCTTGGTCTCCTTCTCCGTCTTAACCTCAGCGAGTAGTCCTCTCGCATTCTGCAGGTCTTGACCCAGTGCCATGAGATGCATAACGTCAGCCGTAAACGTCATAAAGCTCATCCGCTTGGCTGCCTCCTTGAACTTCTCTGGCGTACCATAAGGTGCCACAGGAATGGCGAATCCAGCATATGGCTTGTCGTGCTTGTCCATCACGGCGCGGAACTTCTCGACGGCGGTCGTCCATTCAGGCTCGCTGCCGCCGAGGCCGCTGTTTCCGGGAAGATTCATGCTGATGCGTGCGTCGAGGGTGCCAAGCCAGACGACGTCGATGTCGGGGCAGGCTGTGAGGATATCATCGAGGTTGTTGATACCTGCATCGTTAGTCACATGCCGGCGAGCAGATGAGTAGAAGTGGACTTACCTTCCAGAGACTCGATTTGAATCATCATGGCAGCTTGGTTGTTGAGCGCCTTGTGGATGTCACCCTGGCCGTCGTAGGCCTGGTCGGTGACAAAGGGGATGAGGCGGAACGGCGGCGCAGACCGCGAGCCGTTTTGCTTGGTACCGAACTTCGCGGCTGATATGACGTGCTTTGCCTGCTCGACCGTGTCGACCTGGGGGATGACAATACTCGCGCCGGCATCCAGAGCGTAGCCAATGGCGGCATGGTCGTGTCCAGGAACGCGAACCCAGGGTATGGTACGGCCCTGGCTCATGAAGATGGCCTCATGGACCATGCTTGTCATGGTCTCGACATTGCAGGACGAGTGCTCCCAGTCGATCCAGACGGCATCAAAGCCAAAGGGTGCGAGAAAGCGGGTAACGGGGAGGGAGGAGAGACCGGCGTAGTAACAGAGAAGAGGAGGAATCTTGCCCTTGTGAGCGTCACGAATGGCATCTCGCGCGCGGTGAGGTTGGAACAGCGAGGGCGCAGCGTATGCGAGCATTCCGTCGGCAGACATTTTGGACTGGATCTAATGTATGCGTAGATATAGGCGGCGAAGTTCTGCAGTGATATTGGAGCGTCTTAGGAATAAATGAACAAAAAGCAGCAGGTTGACGACTTGTCAATGCCCAGGTCGAGCCTGGGAGGAGAACGCATCTGCTTTATACCCGCCCAGCTTTCCATACAGTCACATTGCATCGGATTTGCTGCTAATCCCGACGAGCATCGGCGGCTTCGCGAGTGACTTGTATGGCATGGCATTCGGCGTTGCTGCCGATCCATGTCTCCGCGCCGACTTCCGCGTACTCGGGACAGGCGTTGTTGACGGTCCAGAGCTTTTGAGGTAGTCATACCCGAAAAGGTAAGTCGTAACCTTTGAACGCTTGCGGAACGAACAGCACATTATAGGCCGAGGCCGTTGAATCCTCCAGCGGTGGATTACGAGCAGGGGGTTTGGCTAGCAAGCGGCTCACGTCAGCTCAATCCGTCTGCCATTCGGCCCAGGCGCCGGCCCTGCCTTCACAAAGGCTTGCGAATCGACGCTAGATAGGGCTGACGGCCTCGCAGATTCATTTCACACCTGAGCCTAGATCCCGGTGCGCCCGTCTCAGCCTCAGCAGCCCTATCAGTCATTTCGAATCGCCGTCGCGTGTAGTAACCTGCTCGACCGCTGACCACAGGGCACTCGACAAGACAGCGCCTGGGTATTTGAACGCGCTGGCAATGTTGAGTGGTCTGATTTCATGATGGCAAGACGCTGACGTGTGCAAGGCGGTGTCGCTGACATGACGAGGTTCTTTGGATTCTTGTTGCGGGGCCTGTTGCTGCAAGATGAGTAGGGATTCGTGGTCAATCTACTGCGTCCGACGGAGATGAAGCCCCGTTCTCGCATCGAGCAGATACAACAATTCATCCCAGGATCGACCTCGTGGAGCCGCAAAGGCCGGGCAACCGGGGCATGGCGTTTTGGCGGCGTAAAACATTAATTCCGTTCGCCCTGCAGAATCTCGCATGACTGAACAATTCGGAACGAAGTCCAGGCGCCGACATCGCATGCCAAGATGACGCACTCCACGTGCATACCAGCTTACTTCTGGTTGAAGTGATTCTGCCTCGGCGATTGGGTCGAGGATCATGCAGGCTACCCACCAAAGCACGGCGCTGTCCTCATGGGCTGAGTCACTGGCGGCATCGCTGGGATAGCCTGTGGCGATGTTGCTGAGCCTGGAAAAAGTTGTCATATCCTCGAAGTCAGAGTCTCAGCCATTGGGACGGAACAGTAAGGTTCGAAGCAGCTCAGGCCATATTGGCTGTGATCGCTTCCGTTGTGCCGCAGTCAGAGGTGGAGAAACGAAGCAGGTCGTTCGTACTGTCGGATGGCCGACCAACTGAAGGGGTGGAAGATTGAGTATGAACAACGTGGTCCGACGACGAAACCTACAGTTGCCTATTGCACAAAGTACAGCTTAGACGCATTCGCTGTGCCTTTGATGAGAAGACGCTGATACAGCTCGCCACGATGGATGGTCGATTCAAGCATTGAAGGTGAGAGGAGAAGGAGAGTGGAAAGGTCGGCGAGGTTCCTGCAACGACCCCAAAATGGAAGCCTCGGACATGGAACCAATCAGCGGCCCCCTGCCCCCTGTTGACACATAATGAAGCACGGTCACGTGACTTGGTAGCATACAGGCTCAGCTTACTTAATAATTCAAGCCCTCGGACGCAAGGCCGGCGGCACTCGTGGATCCGGGGTTCCCAACATGAGGCGATCTCATGCCTGTTACTCATCTCACGAGAAAACGCCGAATCCGCCGTTAACATTCCTTTTGCTAGCCCGTTTACGATCCATGCTCCAGAATATCCTTCGGCTTCAGCGACGCCATTGTACATCTAGCCTACATCACTAGGTGGCAATACGAACACTCCTCGGACTCCGGCTCTCCCCCGCCCCCATCCATACCTGGGTCGACATTCAGATTCAGATGAGCGCCTCTGTCGAACCAGTTGCGCAGCCTGCTGTTGCCCCAACGACATCTGCGAAGAAAAAGTTCGCAACGCCCCCTGTCAAGATTGCGTGTCTGGCATGGTAAGCGCGCACCCGCTCCTCTCGCTGTCGCGATGCACCGACCCGTAGACCCGAGACAGTTTGATGTCACCAACGTCTGAGGAGAGACCCCCGCGGAGGATGCTCCGCCCTGCCGCACCCCATCCACAGTGGTCATCGGTGATTGAATGGCCCAACATTGGCTGACAGACATGACCAAGTCGCGCCTCTAGAACAAGATGCGATGGCGGCAAGCCTTGTGCCAGTGTACGTGAGAGTGAAGCCTTGGCCTGGACTGAGGTCTTGAGACCCCACTCTTGTGAGAACCTCTTCTGACAGTCGCGCAGTGCCAGAGCCGATCCCGAGACTGTCAGTATCGACCCAGTCGACGTGGAGGCGCCCGCATCCGGAAAAAGCAGAAGACGTGCGACGAGCTTGTGCAGCAGGCCGAGCTCTTCTCGCTGGAGCCGCCGCAAGAGGAGGTTCCCTCGCAGCGTAAGCATGCCGTCGCAACGCGGCCACGTGCTGTTGCTGACCACCCCCTGTCGCAGCCATTTCGATCCAAGACTACATCGACCCCGGTGCTGGGCTCAAGCAGCTCCAAGATGTGTTCCCGGACAGCGACTTCATCTTTGACAGCCTCTTCATGGGCATGCCAGAGGAGGCGAGCGGCGACAGCACGTCTGAAGCCTCTCTCGGTTTCGCCAGTCTCACCGTCCCCATGGTGAGGACGTACAGGAATGACCGCGACATGTAAGCTCCCCTCATGTGTCTCCCGATCAGTTGGGCCCTAACACCCCGCGCCAAGTCTTGATGCGTACTACGTCTTCCTTCACCAGTACCTCCCTATCCTGCCGCCACCCACGGCTGTCCCCATCGACCAGCCCGTCCCGTACTTTCAGAACAGCGCAGAAGCGTTCGAAACCGGCTTCGAGCCGTCAACGCCAATCACGCTGGCGATATGCGCCATCCTCGCCCTCATCCCCTGTGCCAACGACATCAATCCCACCTCGCACGATGCTGTCGTCTTCCGGCGCAAGTACGCACAGTACCTGGCGCAGTCCGCCATCGAGGCCATCGAGATGGAAGCCGAGATCCCCGAGTCATCCATAGAACCACCCAAAGCGCTGAACGGCTCACCGAATCAAGACAGTCGCGCACCTTTCCACCCGGGGCTTCCCATGGAGTACGAGTGCATCGTCGCGTTGGATATCCTCAGCGTCTACGAGTATGCACAGCGGGGCAACCTCAAGAAGATGCAGCGGCGGGCGGGACAGGCACTCGTGGCCGCTATGGAGCTGTCTCTGCACAACTCGACCATCGAGGATGAGTTCACCGAAGTTCGACGCAGGATATGGTGGATGACAGTAGGTTTTGCTCCGATTACACTATCAAAGTGCGAAATGATGTTGACAAGTAGCAGTATGTCTGTGTCAGCCAAGGCGCCATTGTTAATAATTCGGTATGTCTTGCCTCTGCCTTTCGGAGCATCAGAGCTCACACCGCATAGGATCCCAGCTTTGCCGTCTTCGCCCACACCTTTACGACCAAGTATCCCACGCTCAAGTGCGATCCTGATGTTTGTTGCCCCGCGATCCCTCGACGCGGGCCACAGCTGACGAGTCCAGGCCTTCCCCCTCATGATCCAATCGCAGCAGGCAATCCTAGCGGCGTCGCAATTTGCCAGTGACCTCAAGAAGGCGCTCGTCGCCAACGTGGACATGGCACCGATATACGAGCGGATGAAGAAACTCGAATCCTACCTCGAGCCTCTGACAGCACAGGCCGACGGATGGCTGCTACAAGCGTCCACAACATCACCGCTCGACCCGTGCGAGGAAGTCGTCTCTCGAACGCTCCGCTGCATGTCGCGCATCAAGCTCAACAGCGCACGGATCAAGTGCCACCGCTACAGCGCCTTCTCGGACGTGCCCCTCTTCACCACTCAGCACTGCGACCTGCGCGCCAAGTCGGAAGAGACGGACGCGACGCCGGAGCTGCGGCAGTGGCCGTCGTGCGCCTGCCACACGCTCGTCGCGCGGCCGTCGGCACCGTCGACGACATCGCCGACCAGCTCGTCCTCGACCGGCTCCATCTCGCCGCCGCGCTCCTCGCCGCGCTCCTCCGACAGCGGCGGCCACGGCTGCGCCGCCGCGGGCGGCGTCTTCCCCTTCACGAGCCACCAGTCGGCCAAGATCTGCCTCAAGGCCGCCCTCAACGTCGCCCGCTCCTTCGACGACCTGCCGTATCCCAACGCCGCCGGCCAGCTGTGCCTGCCGCCGAGCACCCTGTCGCCGACGTCGAGCCTCGTCGCGCCGCGGACCATGCCCTCGTTCGCCTGCTGCGCCATGCAGTGCGCCTACGCCCTGCTCATGGTCCACGGCAAGACGAGGGCCATGTACCCCGAGCCCGGCATGGGCGGGCCCATGGTCGAGAGCCTGCTCGTGCGCCTGCAGACGGGCTTGCGGTCCATCTCGGGCACGCTGGAGAATTACGCCACGGCGTTTGAGGCGCTCGGCGGCATGCGAGGTATGTCCTCCCTCTTTTTTTTTTCTATGTGCGGAGCGAGAAGCTGACGATGTATGCAGATACGATTCGCAGTGTGATGGAGCCGGCGAATGTGTTCACGTGATGGAGGCATACGGTTTATTCTTGTAGGATAGGCAGACTGTGGGTTGTTCTGGGTACTCTCCATTGACCGGGGTCATTGTGTACAGGTTCAAATGGAATCTCGGCCCCGTTTTCACGAGCTCGTTTTCGGGTGGAGGTGATGTTGAATCATTGGTCTGCACGGTCGTCATGTTGGATTGTTGGTCTGCACGGTCGCGAAGCAGAATTGGCCTGTCACCTTGCCTACGAGGGAGGGCCAACTGGCGAATTTGCAGAGGCAGTGCATTTGACACTGCTACGGCAAACCTGTTTCCACCTGAGCACGCAGGCTTGCGAAGTAGCATCACTCAATGGCGGCAAAT